AGAAAGAGAGAGAAAGAGAGAGAGACAGAAAGAGAGAGAAAGAGAGAAAGGCAATGTGACATAAAAGCCGTCATTTAAAAAATTAGTTTGAGTGCTTCACTCTGTTATTTTGCAATGTAAAATTGCCTTCAGGCAGCTAAAATTACTTGACTTTATTTTTACAGAGCTTTCCAGGGCCTCTTTTGACTCTATTCCTTCAGTAAAATAGGGGAAAAGCAAATATAGGCTGGGAGTAAGGGCAGCACTGTAGAGGACCCCATTTTTCTGTTATCCTTCCTTGCATCCCACATTTTTACTGTACCAAGAGCCACAGGAACAGAGCTTGGGCAGTGTAGAGAAATGGGGCAATCCTGTGAACATGACCAGGGAGAGGAGCAAACTCTCAGCAACAGAGGAGTGGGAACAAGTATTCTCTGCCTTCTGTCCTCTAATGACAAACCCTAATCTTGCAGTGAAAGAAGCTGAAGTTCTGACCCAGGAGAGGGTGATGGTGTCCGAAGCCATCATGACCACACTGGGGTAAGTGCTTGGCCACCCAGGGATGGAAAGTGCTGTAAATACTCTGAAATCGAGGTCAGACATTTATTCTTGATGATCAGGGAGGATGGGGAAGAGGGATCAAAAGAATAAATGAGTTTGGGTAGCTCATGTAAAACTCTTGCGACTTTTTCATCTCTTGAGCAGAATGCAAAAAAAATTCACAGGGTCAAGGTCTGGCTGTTACTTGCCAATCCTGAAATACACAGAAAAAGTAGGTGAAAAGGGTCTATTGCACAAATTTCTTGTTCACAAATGCATCTGAAGGTTAATCTCCTCAATTCACTGTTCTTGGTTTGGACATTAGGCAGATACAGTCTGGAAAGTGGTATCACCTGAACACAAATTAGCTTCTGGAACATGTCTGGCCTAAAAAAGCTTGGCCAGTTTTCCTCTGAAATGTGAAGGAATGGAAGAAAGCTGCAGTGTGACTTTACCTATTCCACTGCAGCCTTTCCCAGTGATGTGTGGTTTATCATTTATCAAGTGGGATGAGCTTCCTCTTGCTTCCTATGTGCTAACAGAGAATTAGGGATGATCAGCTTTTGCAATTGGAATTTGTATCCTCCCTCCAAGAAACTGAGGCACAGCAGAGATGTTGACATCAGGATATTAATTTTTACAGAGCTTTAGTCCTGGGAAATGCCACAAGTTCTCTTCAAGGGACCCAAGCAAATGCTGGTAGTTCTTCACATCTGCGAAAAAATCTACCCTTTCCCTGCTGACACGAATTAATTTGGTGCTGGTAAAAGCTGTCAGTGTAAGAAAGGACTTTTTGGACCTCAAAACCATGGCAGTACCACTAAGTCACCTTGTTTCCCAACACACAGGCATCCTGATGTGATGGGAGCAGATCATGTTATCCAACCTTTGGTTTCCTGATGAAATCACTGGAAATTGTTGAGAATTACTTTACTGAAAACTGACTGACACCACAGATCCCACCTGACATAATGTCTCTGACTGCAGAAGTGTCACTGCAGTGTCAGCTGGGGAGAAAGTCCCAGTAGCACCAGGGAGATGGAACCTACTCTGTTCTGCAACCCACTCCTGGTCTTCTCAAGCTCCAGGTTGAAATAAAAATCAGGAATAAGGACAATTCTCAGATGGGATTCGGCTGCAAGTCTAAAACACCCACTTTTTTTTGTTTGTCCATATAAGCCAGGTGCCACAATTCTCATTTCTCACAGTGACCCTGGTGTGTGTCAACTCCCAGCACCTGCAGCCCAAACCAGAGCCCTAACTTAGATATTCCCTTTATATCCAAGGGGGGAGAAGGGGGAATGTGTTCCTCATTTAGCTCTCCTTACTACCCATTTTATTTTAACTTTTAATTCTGCTTTACTTTATTTTTCAGAGCTATTCATCCCTCTGAAGCAAGAGAAGGTAAGAGAAGATATTTTCTCTCCCCTACTCCTACCTTTCATATGTACAGCTGAGGTTGTCCATGTATTTAATGATTACCACCCACTTTTGTCCCATTTTCTTAAAACTATCTGAAATTTTGGAACTTTTCAGTTCTCAGACTGCTCTCTGTTCAAGGCTGAATTAATCTGGGGGACTGTGAGCAAGCAAAATTTTAAAAACAGGGGAAGAGAAGAAAATCAGACCTTCCTTCCATGGCAGCTTTTATTACTCAAAAAAAAGATTACTTCCCAATTCCCATCTTGATAGCAGAACCTCTCTTTTTCAGGAGACCTTGAAGGAAGGGAAGGTGTTCCCAAAAGCCCTATTTCATTAGCTGATGTTGGCTCAGAAGAGTTCTTCCAGAAACTCACCTCACGGATCTCGGAAATGGTGTCTGCAAAAATAACTCAGGGTAAGGAACCTGCCAAACACAGTTTAATTAATGTAGAAAAAAAAATGCAATCACTTTTTTTAGGTGTTATTTAATTAAAAGTGGGATTTATAGCAGTAGGTTTTAAGCCAAGCATCCCACATAAGTTCAGGACTCAGAAATTTTAGTGGGAGTCCATCCAAACTGTGTCTTAGTTTACAGTTTGGAACTAGGGGGAAAAAAAGCTATTTTATTAAGTTCTAAAAATAGCAGCATATTTTTCTCATCTTAGGTATTTTAGTTTCCTCAGATATTGAACCCTCCTGAGTTGGAAAACAATCCTGCTTTCAAGACTTCACACACCTTCAAGTTTTAGCTCACACTGGGATTTTAAAATCAAGTTAAGGCTAAAAACTGTGCAATGAGTTGCACTCTCAGCAACAGTTTGTTGAATTACATGAAAATCCTTGTCTGTGTTTGTCCTGGTTATCTGGTGGAAAAATTTTGACTTGAAACAAAAATAGAGGCATTATTTCTCCAAGAAATATTCTTGCAGTGTAGTGGCAATACATGCAGTAGGCATTCAACATCTTGTATTAAAACATCCCAAATTTTTATTTAACCCTAAATATCCACAGGAAATAACACTAAATACTACTACAAATGCTCTTCCTAGGGAATGTTTGCTTTAAAGAAATTAAAAACTATTACAGGTTTATCTTTATATCACACTTTGCTTTTCTTTTCAGCCAAGCTTCGAGTGCCAGGTGCAGAAAGTGATGATGATTCAAAAACTCCCTCTGCATCTCCTCGCCATGGACGGTCCAGACCTTCATCCATAGCTCAGGAGTCCTCCTCTGAGTCTGAAGATGGGGATTCCAGAGGAGAGGTACAATATCTTTATGGACAAGTTTGGCACCAGGGGAAAACTTTACTCAAAATAACCAGTTTTCTACAGTTTAAGGACACCCACCCCCTTTTAGGGCTGTAATTCACTTTAGAAGGTGTATTTAATAGTTAAATATTGGGTCTGTGATACAGAGAATCAAGTTGTTCGAGTCAACATGGTCAAAACTCATCCATCATTTGGCACCTCTTGATTTCGTGGCTGAGCTTCAGGAAGTCAGAGCTTGATTTTCTGTGGGCCTTGGAGAGAGCTGTCCCGGAGAATTTTGTTGTGGAGTTCTTTGTGACAAAAAAGAGAATGCCGTGAAAATTAGAAATTAGAATTTTTGAGGTGATCACGTCAAAAACTCTTCCTAAAAAAAAAATAATTAATTAATTAAAACTTTTGAAATGTGACTTATTTTCAGGAAATAAGTTTTCAGGACCATTGGTTTTGGGGTTTTTTTGGAGTGGGCTTTTTTTACTTTTGGAGAAAAACTCTTTGTTTTGTGGTGTAAATATGAACCACCTCAGACAGACAGTTCTGAAAATACCTGAAGGCCTCCAAGAGATTTAGTCTTCCACTTACAAAAAGCAAACAGTGGTTTTCTTTGCCCTACAAAGGCCGGAGAACGAAACATTGAATGGAGATAAACACTTTCACACTTCTGGTATTGCTCTACATTTCCAGAGCAGAAAATAACTGTTGTTTCATTCCTGCAGATCTTTGATGTCTACATGGTCACTGCTGACTATGTCCCTGCTGCACCTGACAGGGAAACCATCACCCTGAAGGAAGGACAATACGTGGAAGTCCTTGATTCAGCTCATCCTCTCAAGTGGCTGGTCAGGACTAAACCCACGAAATCGAGTCCCTCTCGGCAGGGTTGGGTGTCTCCAGCTTATCTGGACAAGAAATTAAAGGTGACTGATCTCGTCCTTGGTTATTTTTCATCCAAAATTCCTCGCTCCTGTTGCAGTTTGGAGCCATCCCTTTTGCAAGGAGTGATGGGTGAGGAATTTGTTGAAGGGATCTGTAATGTGGTCAGGCTTTTTCAAGTTTTGATTAGACAATAACTGTGGTGTGTGCAGGGGTGCCTGGGTTGGAAAGGCCAAATCACCCTCCAGCAAAATAGAAATTTCACACTGGCTTAGGAATTCTTGAGAGGGACTGTGAGCATGTGAGGGATATGCCTCAGTGTGCGTTGATAAAAGCACTGCAAAGAAATAGTCACTTAAAAGAAAAATGTTTTCTTTTTCTTGTACTGCAGTTGTCACCAGAGTGGGGGACAACAGAAATCCCTGAGTTTCCTGGAGAGTTTGTTTCTGAAGATGAATATAAAAGGAAGCTGAGGTGAGCTCGTGTCTTTTGGTATTTGCACCTTTGAGTTTTCCTGCCTTTTGAACTAACAGGAGTGTTGACCTCTGAGTCCTTCCTATGAGAGTCACTGCTTTTGTTCTGCTCAGTCCTGCCCCCTTCCCTTTCCCAGGATCAAGCAAACCCTGGATTAGATCTGACTTGTATTTTGGGGTCTTTGATTGGATTTTTCCATTGATTTCAGCCAAGGAAAATTCCAGGCAATCCCAGAATGGTTTGGGTTGGAAGGGACCTTAATGATCATCCAGTCCCACCCCCTACCATGGGCAGGGACACCTTCCACTATCCCAGGTTGCTTCAACCTTGCCTTGGACACTTCCAGGGATGGAGCAGCCACAGCTTCTCTGGGCAACCTGTGCCAGGGCTCCTCACCCTCACGGCCAAGAATTCCTACCCAGTGCCCCACCTGACCCTGCCCTCTGGCAGTGGGAAGCCATTCCCTGTGTCCTGTCCCTCCATCCCTTGTCCCAAGTCCATCTCCAGCTCTCCTGGAGCCCCTTTAGGCCCTAGAAGGGGCTCTAAATTCTCCCCAGAAGCTTTTTTTCATGTTGGATAACTTTAAAGGAGAATTTTACAGAACATAATCCTGGAATATCTCTGATTTCACGAGATCCTGAACTGCAGTACCTCTGCAATTCTGGTTTCCCCATGTCTGAGGATGCATCTCAAGGGCAACTGTAATGATTTTTCTGTGATTTCTTTTTGCCTCTTCATCTTCCCCTCAGTGTTCTCATCCAGGAACTGCTGATCTCAGAGGAGGATTACATTCAAGACCTGCAGTTCCTCCTGACTCATCACCTCAAGTACACAGAGACCTGTCCCAACGTCCCAGGAGCTGTAGCCAGTCAGAAATCCACCATCTTCAGGAATATTGATGACATTGGTCGCTTCCATTCCAGGTGGGCATTCCCTGTGCCTTCATTTGAGACCGAGGAGTGGTTCACATACAAGGTGTCAGAGCCACACTATAATAATAACAACAACAACAAAAATAATAATTATTATTATCATCATCATAACAGTTGTTATTATTTATATTTTATTATATTATTATGTTGATGCATTATTACATAAATATTATAATTTTTATATATTATAATAATACTAGTATTAAGTGCCAGTGAAGCACTGGCAATACTGAGGTGCAAGGGAATGGATGGTCCTTTCAGGATGATAAATGATGACATGCTTTCAATCAGATCACAGGATTGGGACTTCTATAATACCCTTCAGAGCTTCAAGGCTTCATATGTCCAGCTTATTTCTTGCCTTTTAAGTTAATTTAACTGAAAAATAATGGATTATTATAAAAAAGGCAGCAGGGTCTTACAGGGACTTCAGTGGTGTCTTCACAGAGACATTCATTCGTCTAAAACTGAACATCCATGCAATCCAAACACATCTAGCTGTGGCAGGCTGCTCACATGGCACAGTGATTCTGTCTTCTCCAAGGATTTACTGCAGATCTGGGCCATGAAAATAGATTTCCCTCCTCTTTCCCCCTTCAGCTTTGTACATGTGAACCTGCCTCAACATCTCTCATGAAACAGAGTGAGGATCTCTATTTTCACTCCTGTGGGTGGCTCAAAGATCCTTATACTCAGGGTTTAACTTCCCAGCTTGAGCTAAGACCTTAAAAGTTCTCCCTACCTTCCTTGCAGGGCATTTCATAGAATCATGGAATGGTTTGGGTTGGAAGTGACTTAAAGCTCATCCAGTTCCAACCCCCTGCCATGAACAGGGACACCTTCCACTAGCCCAGGCTGCTCCAAGCCCCGTCCAACCTGGCCTTGGACACTTCCAGGGATGGGGCAGCCACAGCTTCTCTGGGAAATCCATTCCAGTCCCTCCCCAGCCTCACAGGGAAGAATTTCTTCCTAATATCCAATCTAACCCTACCCTCAGTCAATTTAAAACCATTCCCCCTTGTCCTGTCACTCCATGTCCTTGTAAAAGCTTCCCATACCTCCATCCAAGCTGAGAGGTTTAGCATCCTGGTGGGTGAGGGGGCACTGAGATGTTTGATGCTAATGTGCCCCCCAGTCATTTCCTCTGACCTGATTCAAAAGCCTGGCTGCTGGGGCTGTGTTCCAGCCTCATTCCAGCACCTTCTCCTCAGCTGTCCTCTTTCCTTTGCCTCCACAGTGTCTTCCTCCGGAGCCTGCAGGGCTGTGACACTGATGATGACGTGGCCATGTGCTTTATCAAGCACGAGGCAGAGTTTAACAGGTACATCCAGTACCTGGTGGGAAGGGTACAGGCTGAGTCTGTTGTTGTCAGCAAAGCTGTCCAGGACTTCTACAAGGTAAGGCAGTAACCAAAGTACCTGTGGGAAGTGCATCCTGTAACCCACTGCATGGAGAAATGTAGTTATTCATCACAAATGTGATGAACAAAAGGATCCTCAAAAGGATTGTTAATATCTTTTGTAGTTTGTGCTAAATATAACGATTTTTAGTTCACTGTCTTGCTCTTCTTTGTAGGTATAATCAGTATAGGAACATACTTTTGTATGCTTATGCATTTATTAATCTTATAAAGATCATACAGACATGAATGTGGCTGTGCTGGTGTGACTGTAAGGGGGGTTTTAAGAACCACCACATTATAAGGCCAAGTGAACTCATAGATATCATAAGTATGGATAATAAATATATAATAGACAAATCCTCCTTCTCTGCTCCAGCTGCTCAGGATTGAAGTTCACTGGTGAAAACACACACACAGAGCTCCAGATCCACGAGCACACGGGTGGTTGTGGGTCCCTTGAGTAGCAAGGATGGCTCCTCTGCCCATCCAATACTCAAACCCAGATCCTGCACTTTTACCCTCTCCCAGCCTCCTACTTTTAGGGCAAAAGTAGTAGGTACTTTTTTTAGTACCTACTCAGCAGTTACTCCAGCCTGATGCTCACTAGAAAACAAATGCCCGTGTTCACACTCACCCCACATTCCCATGAGCATTTTCCAAGGAGTCATTATTTATCTTGCCCTTTATGACAACCTTTCCTCATTTCTCTATGTATTTTTTCCAGAGATACACAGATGAATTTGAAACTAATGAAGATCCTTCACAGCCACTTATCCCACCACTGCAGCACTACTTGGAAAAACCCATAAACAGGATCCAGCAGTATCAGACAATAATTAAGGTAAGGAGGTTTTATTTTGTCTGACAGGTTAAAATATCTGATGCTCTGCTCTGTGCAGCTTGTGGAGAAAAAGATTTTTTTTTTTATTTCCTATTTCTTGGCTTCCTTCTGGTGCAACTACAACTGAGAGCTGATTGTCTAAATAAGAGAGTAACCACCACCAGTGGTGATTTTCTTTAAATAGTTCTGTAAATGTAAATTCATGTAGAGGTGCAAAATATCCAACCCCTTAAAGCCCTGTGAGCTTTATCTGAATGATCTTTAAATAGATGAATACATATGTGTAAAAAATGTGTTTATATATATATGAATACATGTATGTATATATCCATGACAAGTATCAAGTTTCTTCAAACTAAGCAACACTTACATTATAAAATTAAGCATTTTCCAAAGTGTAAGATATTGGCTTACCACTTTTTTAACTTGTGTTTTATGTTGGCATTATAGTAAGATGGAGTTTTTTTATTTTCTGAAAAGCCTTGCCCCATTCTACCACCCTGAAATATTTAATCTTTCAAGCTTTCATCTGTCCTGCTGTCTCAGGTTCTAGCCCAGGCCATGAGCAAACATTTCAGAGCAGCATTTTAAACAGCATTTTCATGGGAAATAGCATTAGAGTGTCCAGGAAGAAGACAAAATATTTCTGTGTTCTAGTGTTATATAAATGAGCAATTTGAATAGTCTGAAGAGCTTTCTAATTTTGAACACATCCTTGGACAGAAACACCAAAATTTTTAAGGGTCTCTTGGAGGAGTGAAAGCACTCTCCCTGCCTTCATTGCTGAAAGAGAGGAACAGGAACAAATTTGAGAAGAGCAGGAAAACTGGCATTTCATATTTCTCCCAACAACCTCTCTTTTTATTAATCTCATGTTGACTCTTAGTTCAGCTCTGTCACTTGAATTGCTTGTTCTGTGGTGTTGTGAGGGTAAGCAGAAGAGAAGTGCAATGGATACATTTTGCTTTGGAATTTTTGGGGTTTCAATCGCTTTCTGGTATTTGTTTCAACTTTGTTGAAAGGATACAAGGAAAAGCCAAACTGGCTAGTCATTAAGGCTGTAGGAAAGAAAATACTTTATTATCTGAGCAGCACATGGTGAAAAAAAAATGGGATAAAAGTTGAAAGGTGAAAGAATTGGAAGAGATATTGAGAAACTCTTTGGCTCTGGAGAAAATGTGGGTTTTTTCTCTGATTGCCCTTCATTCTTCTGCAGGAATTAATCCGAAACAAAGCAAGAAACAGCCAAAACTGCACCTTGCTGGAACAGGCTTATGCTGTGGTGTCTGCACTGACCCGGAGGGCAGAGAACAACCTCCACGTCTCGCTGATTGAGAATTATCCAGGGACCCTGGAGAGCCTTGGTGAACCCATCCGGCAGGTAACTGGGATTCCTCAGTGGTGTTGGGGCCACCTGTGCCTCCACTGGGTCCTGAGTAGCCTTAATTCCTACAGGAAGCTCCTTTAGACACCCTGCCTGAAAGAGAGTTTTTGCTTCTCCCATTTTTTGCTGCTTCAGAGCAACCCTGGCTGACCTAAGGTTTGGAGCAGCAGAGCAGAGGCACTGATGGAGCAGCTCACACAAAATGGAGTTATTTGTCTTTCTGATCCACTCATCAAACAGGAAGAGATTTGTTCTGGGATCCCACATGATTTTAAGGCATTTTTCTTCCTCCTCCTCTTCCTCTCTTATTATTCCCAAGCTACACGGGCCAACTCCTGAATATTGTCATCTAAAGACCTGATTCTCCTCCAGGTCTCTCCCATGAACCAGGTGTGGGATTTAGGATCACAGAGGAAAGATGACTCAGCTATTAGGACACCAGCCTGGGACTTTCAACACCCTTACTCAAATTTCTGTTTCTTTATAGACTTACTTGCCATTCTGGGCAAGTCATTTATTGTGTCTGTTTGTATCCAATGTTTTCCATGGGAATCATGGTGTATTCCCGAGTGGAATTGTAAGGCTGAATTACAGCGATGGGGATTCATCTATCCACATTTAGACATTCAAAAAAAAGAGTCCAATCACACCCTCAAGTGTTTACTTTTTCCTAGTGGTGACAAGGGGAAACCCCTGTCACTAATCGAGCTTAGTGAAGGTATGTGAAATTAATGTTCTGCTCTGGTAAAAGCAACCAAATCATCAGATAAATAGTCTGTATAACACACAAAATGCAATTTTTCATTAGTATTTCCAAGAGTGCTCCTACCTGACAAGTGCTCTGTATTTTTCTGGCAACAAACCACACCTTTGAAAGGACAATGTGATGACAACCCCTGTGTGTACCCCTGGTGGTTCTGTCGGTCTGATGGGTCACCTTTAGCATTAAAAACCATCTGCTGTGCTGTAATTAAACCAGAGACAAACCAGGTGATGATGTAACAGGAAACATTTATCTGCTCACTGAAAAATTATGGTGAATCATCATTTTTTATTACCTATTTTTATTATATTACTATTATTATATTATAATATTACTATTATTTATTAATTATTCCAGATGCATCACAACGTGCTCTTTCCTTCTTTTTCCTATCAGGGCCACTTCATTGTGTGGGAAGGAGCTCCAGGAGCTAGAATGGCATGGAAAGGACACAAAAGACACGTTTTCCTCTTCAAAAATTACCTTGTGATCTGCAAACCAAAGCGAGACACAAAGACAGACACCTACAGTTACATCTTCAAGAACATCATGAAGGTCTGGTCACTTTATCCTCCCCTGGTGCATTTCTCTGTCACTTCACATTTGCATCGAGCTTGGACATTTCTCTAATCCTTTTGAGCTATTCCTTTGTTTCAAAAACTCTTTGAAGCACAAGTAGAATCCACATTTATACCAAAATATCATTGTCAGAATTGACAGAAACACATCAGAAATAATCAGAACTTGGATGTAGCGATGAAATTACAAGTATTAATTCATCCTTCTTACCTCATTAACACCATAAATACATTATATTGAGGTGAATTTTGCTGTTTATAGTATTTACTAGCATTTGTAAATCTTTGGGTTTGGCAGTCTCTAATATTGGGAAGAAATGGATTGGAAGAAATGTTATGGTCACATGCTACATTCCATGGAGTTCTCTCTGCTGGTTACACCCTTTCCAGACACAAATTCCTGCTTAAAAATTAAAAAAAAAAAATCAGAGAATTTGACCAACTCATCTTCAGACATTCAAGGTTAAGACTAAAAAAAATTGAGGAAAGAGTTTTCACGAGGCAAGAGATGCTCAACTCCAGTCAAAAACACCAACCAAAAAAACCCATGGAGCTCTTGACCAAGCTCAGTTGGGACATCCTGAAAGTCCTGATCTCTGCCTTAATTGATATTCATGGGCAGATATTACATTATTTTCCTGAAATGGGATTATTATTCCCGGTAAAATGTCAGTTTGGGAACCACAAAGTCAAGTATACTGGGGAAAATTGCTCTCAAAGTCCCTCTGATTGCTGTTCACCAAAGCCGCGTCGCGTTGCTCATGCAATCCAAAAAATACCTTTGGAAGCCGTTGAGAATTCCTTTTGCTGCTGGGAATTCCTGAGAACTTGGGATACGTGCTGAGTTCCTTGTCCTTCTGCCACACAGTTGAACAACATAGATGTGAACGACCTGGTGGAAGGGGACGACCGGGCGTTCGAGATCTGGCATGAGCGGGAGGACCTGGTCCGCAAGTACCTGCTCCAGGCACGGACCGTGAACATCAAGAACTCCTGGGTGAAGGAGATCTGTGGAATACAGCAGCGGATCAGCGAGCCCATCTGGAGTAAGCCTGGCCCAAGATAGCCCAACCCCCCTATTTTTTATTTTTTTTTTCTTGGGTGGTCTCCTTGGTTCAGGAGGGGAATGAGCACACAAGGGGAGAGGACCCGTTTGTGGTGATCCAAACACCGCGCGGGCAGAATCGAGGGGGGTGGTTCTACCCCTCTGCTCTGCTCTTGTGAGACTCCAGCTGCAGTGTTGTATCCACCTCTGGGACCCCCAACATCAGGAGGATATGGAGCTGCTGCAGTCGGTCCAGAGGAGGCCACAAAGGAGATCAGAGGGTTGAAACACCTATTCCATAAGAAAATGTGGAAAGAGTTGGGTTGGACTCTGATCCAGAGTCCTGCACTCATCAACTTAAATCCCCCTGTGACTTTTTTGTGTATGAGACCCTTTATTTGACTTCTGGCTTGCACTGCTGTTATCTGTGCACTTGGGTTTGCTTTGGAATTTTCTCTGGTCATTCAGGCTGCATCATCCTCAGTGTCATTAGAGATTCCACCAATTTTCTATCCACAACATTTGTGAGCAGGGATATTAAATCTTTGTTTTCCAAGCATAAGCTACGAATGGTGTCCTCTATGGTATAAGGATATTTGCACCTTAAAATGCCAGAAGAGGATTGTATTTAATCTATATACCCTGAAAACAAGTCTGGGCATTTAACTTTTGTGCCTTTAGTGAGGTGTTTTAATGAGGAAGACTATCAGAATAATTTTGCATTGTTTCATATGGTAATAATGGGTTAAAATAAAGTCCCTTAACAAAGGGACAAGTTGCCCAGGGAAGATGTGGATGCCTGGAAGTGTTCAAGGCCAAATTGGATAGGGCTTAGAGGAACTTGGTCTGGTGGAAGGTCCCTGCCCGTGGCAGCAGGTTGAAACTAGATCATCTTTCAGATATCTTCCAACCCAAACCAGTCTAGGATTCTCTGATTCTAGAAAGCATAGATTTTATTGTATGGATACCAACAGAATACTAGTTTGGATATCCAAATTCCTCATAAAATTCCTCATTTTATTTGAGGAATTATGTTAATGGTGACATCTGAGTGGTGTCTGAATAATGGATGTGCTCATTAAAAATCATGGTCAGCAACAAAACCTTTTTTTTTTTTAATGTGGCCTAACTTTATGGCCAACAACAGACGTTTGATGGACTGAATTTAGCCTCAGATAAGCAAGGACAGCACTTCACCTGGAAAATCATGAGCTGCTAAAATTTCCTTTCAGCTTTCCATTCTGAACCTCACGGATTTGCAGATCTATTCTTACCTTACATAGCAGCAGCCACTCTTGGGCAGGGCCGCCCTCCTCCAGACTAACACGACTTATCCTGATGTTTCAGTACCTCCAGACTTCGAGGAAGAACTGGCGGATTGCACGGCTGAGCTGGGAGAGACAGTCAAGCTGGCCTGTAAAGTGGTGGGAGCTCCCAAACCATCCATCAGCTGGTACAAAGGTAAGGGCAGGAAGCCACGAAATGCCTCCTCCAAGTTCGTCCTCTGTCTGTATTGTTTGATGGTTGGTTGGTGGGTAATCAAAGAGTTGATCCCCTCAAGATACCAAAGTCTAGTGAGCGTGTTTATGGTCACTTTGGAGGTGTTCCTTTGGCTGGCAAACCAGAGCTGTGACTGCACAGCACATACTCTGGAAAAATGTCACTGTTCAGTGAGGATTGGTGACGTATGAGGTCCCTCAAAAGTGCTTTGCCCAGAGGATATTCTGCAGGGAGCTGGACAAAAAGATGAGGAGCTCATTCCCCAGCTACCAACATCAGCTGCAATAAAGCAAATACAGCTCTCAGTCCTCTCAAGTGGAAAAGCTGGATAAATCCCAAGGAGAAAACATAACATACAAAGATATTGCAAAAAAATCACTTGCCTTTGCCTTTCAGATGGAAAGCCAGTGGAGGTGGATCCCCATCACATTATAATAGAAGATCCCGATGGTTCCTGCACGTTGATCTTGGACAACCTGACAGGTGTTGACACAGGACAATACATGTGCTTTGCTTCCAGTCCTGCTGGAAATGCCAGTACCTTGGGAAAGATCCTTGTTCAAGGTAAAGTCCTGCACAGATGCATTGTTTTAAAGGGGTCTGCTATGTGATACTTTGAACTTGTGTAAGGAATAGTGTGGCCAGAAGGACCAGGGCAGGGATTGTCTGTGTTTCTATGATGAAGGTCTGTATAACACCCACTGGATAATGTTTTAAAAAAGTTATTTTATGTACAAGTGTAGTCAACTGTTCTTAGGGCAAAAAATGTGGTCTTTAGTGTCCTGTGTGCAGACACCATGAGAATTACCTGGTCAGGGACACATCCTTCCTTCCTGGTCCTATTTCCAGCTATTATTTGATTTACCTTTGCTTTGCAGTGCCACCAAGATTTGTGAACAAGGTCAGAAATGCTTATTTTGTGGAGGGTGAAGATGCCCAGTTCACCTGTACTGTGGAAGGAGCACCAAGGCCTCAAATCAGGTCAGTCCTACAAGTCACACTGGGACAAATCCTGGTTTCCCACTTTGCATAGTCAGAAAAGTCTTTCAAGGTTATGACCCTTTCTTCTCTGTGTCTTCCACCTTCAACCCATCCCAATCCTGGGTCTTCCCAATCCCAGCATTCCTGAGATTCTCAGCCATTTATTGTAGCTAGGATCTAAAAAAAAACCCCTACAGATAATCGCTGGCTGTATCAGATCTAACAATTTTATCATTCCTTTATCCTCCCTGCCTTACACCTGAACTGATTTTATCACCAACCAGTATTCAGACAAAAAGCTCAGCAAATCTTTGCATCATTTAAAGCCCTTTTCCTGCATTGGCTGATGAGATTGCTTGAGAAGAATCTTGTGTATTTTAGTATCCACGTGTGACCCACTCACCTGCAACCAACCTTCCAAACTGGTTGCAGGTGAGTGGGTCACACATGTTTAAAATTAACTATTGAGTTGGTTGATAGCTGGGTCAGTGAGGTGGGCATCTCTTGACACTGTTTGTATTTTTCCTGGCTTATACCCCGTGTTTTCCACACACAGATGGTACAAAGATGGGGTGCTGATAAAGGACACAAGTAAATACCAGGCTTTCAGTGAACCACGGAGTGGCATCGTGGTCCTGGTGGTCAAGAACCCTTCCAATGAAGACATGGGACACTATGAATGTGAGGTGAGTTCAGAGAGATTTAAATACCTGTCATGTGGAATGATACAGGTAGAAGAATTCATTTTACTGGAGCAGACCCATGGCATGAGATCAGAGGCAGAGTAACTGTTGCCACCTGGCATATAAAAAAATTATATAGAAAGTCAGGCTGAATTGATCTGGATTGTGAACATCCAAAAGTTTCAGAATATCCTGATCTGAGAGCTTGCTGGTTCAAGTAGTAATGAGCTGAGCTTGTTCTGTAGCTCAAACTCAGATCCAGATCTCTAGAGTTAACTCTTACAAAGTTTAGGGACACTCTGATGTGACGTTTTGTTCCCGGACTGTCTTTAGATTATGACACATTCATGCTGCTACTAAGAAATCATCCAAAGATAAAAGCAAGAAATTAAATCTAATTAGAAGTATAAACAATTGAAACACACAAACAAATTTCTGTTTGTTTAGCAAGTATACATGGAAGTATCTAATAAATCAAAATAAATGCAAAATATTTTCTGAGAATTAGTCATAGTCTATGCATTTATTGTAATAAAATAGTAATAAGCTCTGAGGGCTGGGCAATAAAAATAATTGATCTTGGTTTAGGAAATTAATGGGTCAGTTGCCCCTTGGTAAATGGTTCAGCTCATGGAAGTGTTTAGGATGTTTGCCATAATTTAAAGACTTCTATTAGAATTTTAGCAAAATCAGACTGCTTTGCATTTGCCATTAACTAAGACCCCAAGGTCCAGTATCCCCTTGGATGAATAAACCCCCATAGATTAATGGATGATGAACAAACAAAACCCTCTTTATTTGCCAACTAAGGGCACAGAGCAGAATCTGTGCCTGTTGGTAGAGACAGAGCTAAATCAGGACCGAGCCACAGGCTGCAAACTGCAAATAATTAAGTAAATAACTAAGTTTGCCGATGTCAGTTTGGTGTGATTTGTCTGTGTGGGGTCATTTTTGGTAAAATATCATCAAGAACTCCACTGAGCAGCAAAGTGTCCCTTCAAAACCCCAGCTTAGAATTGGGGTCACACCTTCACCCGTTCCCGTTGTCGTTTAAATGCATCGAGTTGTTTAATGCAGCGTAGGAAGCTTTTGTTGTCATCAAACCCCCCGTGTTTCACTGGGCACTGCCCAATTCTCTCCAGCTGATGAACAGATTAGGGTCTGCAAAAAGTGGAGCAGAGCTTTACCACCACAGTGCTGCAGCCCTGACCCAGGAGAGGAGAGGAGACCAAGCCATCACCATCGAAGGTACGGTCCTTGCCCAGCTCCGTAAGTAGGTCCCTGAATTCCTCCAAAACCACCTCGCTGAGGGTCGAATATATTTGCCATCTTATCCATGTTGGTTGTTGGTGTTCCTGTATCTGTATGTCTACCCAGATGTGCATGGGCAGAGTGCAGCTCAGCTCTGGACCCATCACCATCTGTTGATTTCCAAACCTGGCAAATCAACTTCATATAATGCTCGCCAAGGCATTATATGAGAAAGGAGGAGCAAATGAAGGGTATGTCACACCTCTAGTGCAAGAAAAATGTCCTATATTCTGTTGGAATACTTGAAAATGTGTGTCAGCCTGGGAGAACATGAGTTACAGGGGCCAGTAAGTAAAGCTGGAGGCATATTGTGATTATATCTGAAATGTCACTGAAGAACTTCAGGAGTGACTGAGAAAGCAGAACTGACAGCAGTAAACCCTGAGCAATATTGGCTCATCCATGATTTAAGACTGTTCTGGGATAGTCATAGAGTCTATTATTTTTTTTCCCACAAGTTTACCCTGGATTGAAGGGTCATAGGAATTGATTTTATACCCATCCAACAACACATCTCTTTCTTGACACCTTTAGGTATTTCTGCCTAAAGTTACCTTCTCATCCAAGGGATTTCCACACACAGTGTTAGACAGGCTTGCTACAGACCCATCACAACCCACTTTCAATGTGTGGGTACATCTGTGTAAGGGACTTTTCCTGGTATAGGGAATTGGTTCTTTGTGCACCTTGGAAGTGTCCTTGGCTGGCTGAGCGTGGAGCAACCAGTGCTGCCTTTCTTGAATAGCCCAGGGGATAATACAGCCAAGGGACCACCTTTAGTAGGTAATAGATGCTGATTTGGAGGGTAACAGAGAGGACTAGGACAGGTACAGGCCTTTCCATGCCAGCAAACCTTGGTTCCAGAGACCTCTCCCGGATGTGGTTGGTGGAGACATGGTCAACAAAAGCCAGAGGTTTGCCAACAGCTGTAGAACCTTCTTTCCTCATCTTCAGTGATTCCACACTGTCTTGTGATAATAACAGGAGTTCAAGTGCCTGTTTGATAGGAGATAATTGGTATTATTGATATCCACTAAGGAAATTTTGATTCCAGAAGCTGCCGGGCAGAAAATGCTGGAGAATCTGGAAAAATATTCAGGGAAAGTGGTCCTCTACTCCTGTTTTCTTCATCATTTTCTATAGTACTCTACTGTTGGCCCTGTCTGAGACAGGGTCCTGGTCTGGATGGACCTATAGACCAGCCCCTTGGAGACACTAATGTTTTGTTATTGCATTAAGAGGATTCACTCACAATAAGCTATTAAGATTAGTATCCTCATCTATGGACTTGCTTGACTTCATTTTAATCCTGTTTTCCCTTTATTCCTTTCCCAGATTCCCATCAGAAAGCATTACAGGGAGAATGGTGTTAGTGTAGAAACACTGTTTTTCAGCAGAATAAACCTTCAAGTACTCGAATGTTTTGTCTTTGCTGTGCCCTAAAGAGAGAAAAATGCAGGATGCAGAGGAACATAAACAAAGCACTGTTAGGGTGGTGTATCTTGATGAAGTTCCCTTCAGGCAGAAGATGTTATAAAGGAAAACAAGGGTTGTAAAAAGTGTTAGGAGCATTTTCAGCTCTTGGGGTTGCAAATGTGTATATTCAGCCCCAAATTACTCAGCTGCTGTTATTCCTGCAGTCATAAACAAAACAAATTTTGCGCTTGATTGAAGAAATAGAATTGGAGTTAGCCTGGAAGCTTCAGAAATGTTATGAAAGAGGTTTACTCTGCGATGTGCAATTGCTTGAATTTGGTAATAGGGAAGGAAATAGATCCCTGAGTCACCTCCAGGGAGAAACAGAGGGAGAGCTGCTTCAGGCCAGTGGAGAAAACAGGCTCATCCATGGAGCAAGTGGATTGTTGTGAGCAGAATCTCAGCAGGGATGAATTTTGACATGATGCATTTGACCAAGGAGGGAACTTGTTGCTTTCTTGAGAATCAATAACCAGCCTTGATCTGCCTGTGGAAAAATCAGGTTCATCTGGTAAAGAACTGGAGGACGGATGGATCTCATGAAGGCTTTCTCTTTCCATCCTTACCCTATATTTGTGAATAATGGGATTGCTTGTAACTTCACCAAGAGGACAACATTACTGCTGGCACCACAGGACAGAGATACCGTGTCTGCTCCCTCGCTCACCTGCACTGTGGGTCTGAGTTTTACCTGATTTATCCTTGGTTCTGTGAAATGACCATTGCCTGGGTCTCCCGAGGCACCCAAGGGGCTTTAAGGGCAAATATTTTAGTTTGTATCCTCCTGCCTTTGTGTACTGTGTACTGTACTGAGCCAAACCCACTGTCACACTTTGGGACACCGTTAGTCCAGCGGTTTGTGAGCCCTGACCTGCAGCTGGTGACGACCCACAGCCCAACACCGCAGGTCTCACAACCAAAATTCTCGTTTAAATTCGCGCTGTGGGAATTTGCAGGCCCTTTGGAAGGACCAAATCCAAAAAAAGGATGGAAACCACTGGACTAAGGGGTCCCCTTGTGAGCTGAGACCTGCCTTCAGCCACATCTGGTCGCTTCACTGAAGTCAATGGAGAGCTGCTTAAAAAATTCCTCTTTCTGTGCATATTGGAAGTGTTTTAAACACTTTAAAAAAAGTGTAACAGAAGAAGATCCTTCTCTTTGACTTCAAACTTGTTGTCTGCTTTGCACCTTGTTGCTTTAACCTACACATGGCAGATCTGGGCTGTTGTGCTCTGCCGTCCCTTTTTAACATGTCACTGTTGTGATTCCCTCATCTCAGGCTCCCTAATGTTCATTTTTAAAGAAAAGCCCAGTTTTTGAAAGGTGTTCCATTTTCCTATGAGTGGGCAGGTCCAGGAACGAGCCAATAGCAAGGGGAGGAGTCAGGTAAACAAATGGAGATAAGCAAAGCCATAAATAAAAATTCCCAGTGCAGTTACAGCCAGGGAACAGGAATTTCTCCATGGTTTTGCCATAGATCTCATGCAGAGCTTTGGGCATGTTTAGTTGCCTTATTTAGTAATACCCACCTTGCAGGGAAAAGCTAAATATTCCACGACTCTCCCATGGAAGATTGTTTTAAAACACAGGAACAGTAGATCTCCTGGTGCCACCCTTTCACTGAAGAAATAGGGCATAGGATTTTTTTCCCCTGACCACTTGGAAGTTCACTGTTTAGGGTGATGATCAGGGTATTTATCTCATTATTTTTATTCTGTTGTCACCACGGGTGAGTGACATTTTTAGGCTGACCACATGGTTTTCTCAGAGCAAATTCAATCGCTGCAGGAGCGGAAACTTTTGGTTGGTTTGGTTTAGGGTTGGTTTTGGCTATTTTTTTATTTTTTTTTTTGAGAGAGAGAGGGCTCAAAACACTTGAATTTCATTCACACAATTTAGGGAACTGTTGTCTCCATGAATTGAGTCACCAATATTTTGAAGACCTGTAGATGTGGCACTTGGGGACACGGTGGCAGTGCTGGCTGAGCAGTTGGACTCGATGATTTTAAGAGCCTTTTCCAACATTAATGGTCCTGTGATTGTGGGAATTGCTCATTTTAGGTTTAGCTTTAGCAGTTCATGTCAGGTTTGTGCATCCCCTGCTGCTGATTAATCTCCAAAATGTAGCAGAGAGGCGTGAAAATGGAGCAGTGCTCCCATGGTTCACGTCAGGAAAAATAGGTTTATGCTCCTGTGAGTGGAGAAAACAGGCTTAAAAGTTGTAATAAAGGCCATAAAGCACCTTTCATCCATTCAGAATTCACTTATCCTAAATGTTTCATCACTTGTAAGTCAATGTTTTAATCTATTAACCGAGGAGGAGTCTGGTCCTGTAGAAGCACTTGGCTGATCCTAATGCTTCCAGCTTTTACCCTGCTTTTCTGGGGCTCCTGCTTTGCAAAGCTGTTTTTTTTTTTCCTAAAACGCTCTTGAAAAGTTGAAATGATAAATCCGGTGCTAAAATGGAATGCAGAATATTTTCCTCTCGGGGAGAAAAAAAAAACCAACAAAACAAAACGACAAAAACAACAACCTAAAACCAAAAGAGAAACCCAAATTCTCTCATCCTACTTTCATGTGGTTCTATCCTTCACATAGGATTGCTCAAATCCTCCCTCACACCTTGGATAACACATAAAAAATTTGACTTTATTTTCAGCTTTCTCATCTGAGGCCTGCTGAACTTTTGAATATTGAAGCCCTTTGACACCTGTTACATATAAAAATATCGTGCTCAGGGTAATTTGGGAGGCCTGCAGGAGCGGGCATTAATAAATATTAAAGAGACTTTTACTCACAGACATTTTGAGATTTCATTAGATTTATTCAATTATTTAATTTGTATTATTTAATTCTCACCTCAGTGCAGTTGCTGTTACAATAATTGTATGAACCACCTATTTTCAGGTGTATAATCAAATTAATTAACACTTATTTACATCAGAACTCTTCACTCTTTAAGAGTCTTTACTCAGATACCACTTATGGGTTAATTTCGTGATATTATTTGATGAGATTTTCTAAAAGTTGTGTTAAAATTGCACAATATTATTTGAAAATTCACTGAAAATCTCAAACCTGGGTGCAGCAAGTTTTTTGAGCACTCAGTTCATCTGACATCATTGTATAATTATCATTCCACCATTTTAAAAAGGATTTGAATTATACAAAAAAAATATGAATTAAGGATAGGTAAATGGTCATATTGTAATTGTGTTCAGGGGTAAATACTTGAAAACAATTTTGCCCTTTGCTTACCCAGAAAGCATAAAGTCAAAATTCCCAAACAGATTTTGTTTAAACCCACCCGATTCTGCAGCAATTCCTTCCATTCTAGAGGAAATCATTCCAGAGTTTTACAGGCATAAATGAGACAAAGCTCTGCAAAGAAAACATGAGCTCTAGGTCAGACATTAAACATCAACATCTGCACGAAATTCTTTTTCATTATGATGGGATTT